GGCCACTGAGCTCCCAGATCCTCCTGTTTCTACCCAGCAACACTGGGATTACATACAAACAGGACCATGCCTGACTTTTATGTGGGTGCTGGGGACCTGAACTATCTGCCATTGAGTTATCTTCCCTGCCCATCACCCTTTCTTTAACTGAGTTCCATTGCCATTTACCTAGTCACCTTTTAAACAGTTTATTTATCATTAGTGTTGTGTGTTTGCATGAGATATATGGATACATGAGCCATGGCATGCATGTAAGAGGTCAGAGGACAACTTTGTACAGTCAGTTCTCTCCTTCTACATTTATATGTGTTTGGGAGATCAAATTCAGGGTACCAGGCTTGTGTGGCAAGTGCTTTTCCAGACTAGTTTATCACACTGGCCCAAGCTTTGTAACTATAAAGACAACTAGAAATGGTATGAGCCACTTTTACCGTCTAGCCCCTCATCCCTATTGAGCGTTTGCTGTGGAGCATTACTGTAGTCCTCTATACTCTGTGAATATGAATTACTGTCATTGATAATAAAGAAGCTGACAGGCCTGTAGGCAGACAGGAAGTATAGGCGAGACAGCCAGAAACAGAGGACTCTGGGAAGAAGAAGGCAGAGTGAGAGACGCCAGCCAGCTACCGAGCAAACAGGACGTGTAGAAAATGAGGTAACAAGACACGAGGCAAAGAATATATAAAAATACGTGTTAATTTAAATGTAAGAGTTAGCTAGTAACAAGCCTGAGATATTGGCCAAGCATTTGTAGCTCATATTCATCCCCTGAGTTGGTTATTTGGGACTGGGTGCTCGGGACAGGAAACATCCATTTGTAAGCATTCTTGCCATAACATCCAATCTGGATCCTCGTGCTTCTTAATCTCACAGTGCCGGTCAACAAGGAAATATAGCGCACAGAGGAATGAGCTAAACATGCCATAAGCAAGCAGCAAACGGAATCCAAACAGTGGGTTTGAAACAACAAAGTACAAGGAAAATTGTAAAAAGGATGAAGAGTTTCCATACTGAATGAACTTTAGGAGGCTGATCAATCAAATGCGATGAGCGCAAAGCCCTTGAGCCCTGATTCAGCAATAAGACAAACACTGACTGGGTCATAATTAAGAAGTGTCTTAGACTGCGTTTCTGTTTCTGTGAAGACACAGAATGACCCTGGCATCTCTTATTAACAAAAACATTTAATTGGGTCTGACTTATACTTCAGAGGTTTATTCCATTATTTTCTTGCCAGGAGAGATGGCACACACACACACACACACACACACACACACACACACACACACACAATTCCTTGCCTCTTACAGACCCACATTAAAGCATTTAGAGTTATGATGACAGGCCTGTGGTAAAATGGGAAACAACCGAGGTCACAAGGCTGGCCATGAACTGGAGTATGCCTATTGTCAGGGGACAGGTGCTATTATTTTGGTTTTAAATTCTCCACGGTATAAATAGTTTTTACAGAAAGACAAGACAGATGGGGCCGAGATGCTTGTGGTTCTGGCCAGGGGTCTGTGCATAGAATAAGTTGGCGAGGAAGCAGTAGGGACAGCAGAATGACACCAATCTGTGGCCAGGGTCTGCTTGTTTCAGCTCGACACCTAGAGGAAAGTGCAAATAAGAAAGTGCTGGCACCAATATCAGGACTTGGTAAGGGCTTGAAACCTTAGAGCAACGATAGCCAGGAGCATCCAGGGGCCTCCAGGGGACAGAAGGGTCAGAAAGGGAAAGGGATTCCTATCAGAAACGGCTCTATGGTTTCTTCATACCAACTAGGTGTTTTGTTTTGTTTTTTAACTGTTCTTTTTCCCATGAAGGTGAACAGTGTACAGGACAGCGATTTAAAGGACAATCAGGCTTGTCCATCTCTGTAACTTTCAACCATAACTTCCCTTTGGAAATTGCACAATCCTGTGTTGAAATGGTTTCGACAGCCAGTTAAGACCTACTCAGCTGGCTCTTGGCTTGGGTGCTCAACCCCATTCTGCAGCTGACTTGGCCAGATGCTAAAGAAACTTCACCAGCCCCTCAAAATTGTCTCCTCAAATTTTACCAAGGGACAAGGAAGGGAGCAGGTGGAAAAGCCCACGTCCCCTGATTCTATGCTGCACCCTCTTGACCATGCCTGGGTCACATTGGGGTTTCTTATGCCTGTGGTAACTGGATTGCTTTCATCTACGGATAGATGTGGGCAGTCAGCATGCATTGCTTCCATGGAGAGGTCTGTAGACATGACACCATTGCCAATTTTGATTCTCACCTGCTGTGGTGGATATGTTGTCAACTTGACGACATCTGGGAATTAACTAAAACCCAAGCATCTGGGCACACTCGTGAGGGACTGGATCATCTGACATGGGAAGGCCCATCCTAAGTCTGGGCCACACCTTCTGCTGGCAGCCTGTACAACGGATGAGGAAGATCGAAGCGCTTGCCCGTTGCCTGCTTGCCTTCACTCTCACTGGCAAATTCGCGTATCCCGCTGCTGAGGCATTCTTCCACTGGAATAAGAACCCGTTTCCTTGGGATCCCAAAATATACTAATTACCACCTGAGACATCCAGCCTTGTGAGCTGAACAGCGACTGGACTCTTGGACTTTCTATTGGGAGACTAATTCACAGGTCATGGAGTGTTTGGTGTTGGGATTGAACCTCGGGCTTTGTGCATGTTAGCTAAGCACTCCACACACAGAGCTACATCCCTAGACCCAATGCCTTCCCTTCAGTGGTTGAATTGCTGCCTATTCTGGTAATAAGATGAGAACAGAGAGGTGTAGAGATGGCTCACCAGCTATGGACACTTGCTTGATGCTTCTGCAAAGGATCCAGGTTTGGTTGCCAGCATCTGCATCATGGCTCATAACCATCTGAAACTCCATTTTCAGAGGACAGGACACCCTGTGCACGGTGCGCACATGATGCACATACATACATGCAGGCAAGCATTCACACATAAAAAGTCTCTTTGTTTTAAGCATAAATGTTAGGTATTCGAACTTGACAGCTGTGTTCAAAATGTCTCGCCTACAATGACCTCTGAGATCATATAGTGAAAATTCTTCTTATCTGTCTATCTGTCTCCCCCTCTCTCTCTTGCACACATACACAATCAGTGTAAAAATTTTTAAAAACAACCTTAGCTCCTGGATTCATTAGACCATTAGGCTCACTCTTGGTATGGTACAGTCTGGTTTGAACAAATATGTGACATGTGTCCATCATAATAGAATCCATCAAAGGACTTTCACTGTCCTAAAGCCCCCTGACCTCTGCCTATTCATGCCTCCCTCCCTCCATGCCAGAGCCTAGCAACCACCGATCATTTTACTGTTCCTATAGTTTGGGTGCTAATCACTGTAAGCAGGCAGACACGGTGCTGGAAAAGGATCACAGAGTCCTACATCTTGCAGGCAACAGGAAATGGTCCGAATCTTGAGCAAGACATCTCAAAGCCCACCCCCACAGTGACACACTTCCTCCAACAAAGCCACACCTACTCCAACAAAGCCACACCTCCTTTAGTGACAATGAAAAATAGCTTGCACCTCAAGAGGAGTGAGGGCGTTAACTCAGGATCCGATGAGGGACCATGGTCCAGGAACACGGGTTCATGTTACACCAATACCATGTACCAACATGGGGTTGGTTACATAGACAGATGAAAGTTGTGAGTCGAGGCATTCATCGAATGCCTTAGTGGGGGCCACAGGACATTCTTTGACGTAGGTCTGGGTCCTAGCTGATGATTCACTACTTTTGGATTAGTAGAAGCTGAGTACCAGCTAAGAAGACCTTTGGATGTTTACCCTGACCGTCAAAGGATGTTAGAGCTGGACATGGCTTGAGAGGCAGACACAGGTGGCTCTATTTGAGAATTTGAGGACAGCTTCATTTACATAGATAGTTCCAGAATAGCCAGGGCTATGAAATGAGAACTCCATCACTCCAAACAAGACCAAAGGATGTGAAGGACTACTGAGAGGACTAAAGCTGGCCAGGAGGTGGTGGTGCACATCTTTAATCCCAGCACTGGAGAGGCAGAGGCAGAAAGATCGCTGTGAGTTCAAGGCCAGCCTGGTCTACAGAGTACAGGATAGGCTCCAAAGCTAGAGAAACCCTGTCTCGAAGGAAGGAAGGAAGGAAGGAAGGAAGGAAGGAAGGAAGGAAGGAAGGAAGGAAGGAAGGAATCGAATTAGTTATTCAGTCTAGTAGAATTTTCAACATGAGTGGGTTCATTTTTTTCCTTAAGGGAATTTAAATTTACAGTAGTTAAGCTGATTTTCTTTTTCTTTTTAGCACATGTACAATATTATTAAAACTTAAAAGTCCTAGGTTTTTAAAAAAAAAAGGCCTTATTAGCTCATTTGGTTTGTTTATTTTACTTTTATAAGTAACCAACAGAAACATAGGTATAAATATTTTTATAAAGTAGCTGTCCTAGATAGACATAAACGCCTGGAATTTAGGAACTATATTGGTTTTTCAGTCTATTTCAACTACACATACAAAAATTTACACAGAAGACATATATGCTTGAAAATTAAGGCATATTACCTACAATCTGTTTTTTGAATTAAAAAAAAGTCTTATTTAAAAAATTCAAATAATGCCCAGATTTAATATTTTCACAGAGATGTTAGTTTGTTAGGTTTAATCATATTTTTTTCTTCACTCACTTTTTGGGCCAAAAAATATAAAACCCCAAGGAAGGTAGAGTTGTTAAAAATCTGTAAACACTTGTGGTGATTATCCAAATCACTTGGCCTTCAACAATATTGCTTGGTGTGGTGGTGCACACCTTTAAACCCAGAACTCTGGAGGCAGAGGCAGGGAGATTTCTGCACATTTGAGGCCAGCATGAATCACTATAAAGTGAGTTCCAGGACAGCCAGAGTTGTTACACAGAGAAACCTTGTCTCAAGAAACCAAACCCAAAACCAAACCAAACGGAAAAAAAAGTTGCTTAATTGGATGTTAATGTAATCATGTCCAGTGCTTCAATATTTTATTCTGATTTTGGCTGCAAGTTATACTTCTGTGGTTGGAAAAAGTTTTCTTCAATGGCACTGACCAGGTCATCTAGTTCCTTTTTCAGCTGCTCCAGATCACTGGAAAAATATAAGAGGGGGAGAGGAAACTCAGATTAATGGGTTATTCCAATGCAAGCACATGTATTTGACTTTTTTTTTTTTTTTTTTTTGAGACAGTCTCACTATGTAACTATACATACCAGGCTGGCCTCAAACTCACAGAGTCCTATCTGCTTCTGCCTCCCAGAGGCACATATTAGCTCAGCATGGCCTACCTTGATTTGATTTTGAAACTGGATCTCATGTATTCCAGGCTGTTTTAGCAATCCCAACAGTCCTCCTACCTCAGCCTCCTGAGTGCTTGGGATTAGGGATTGCAAATCTGAGCCACTACTCCCAGCTTCAGAGCAAAATTAAAACACGTTAAAGATTTAATTATTAATTATGTGCCTGTGCAGCTGGAGTTACAGGTGGTTGTGATTCGTCCGACACTGGTGTTAGGAAAAGAACCAGGGTCTTCCACAAGAACAGTTCAAACTTTTAATAACTAGACCATCTCTCTATGCCCTTCACACTGTATTTTAAAATGTTCCTTTCATGGGCCTATGAGACTGAAACTAAACTTCAAAGGGGTGGAATTCAGAAAAGCACAGAGCTCCATGAACTTCTGCGTGGGAACACATTTGTTGACTTAGTGGGGGGAAAAATCCCAGGAGACAATATGCATCATTTTCCCTAAAAGTTTTCCAATCCAAGGTCTTTACAATAAACAAAATTCTTCTTTGCTCTTCTAAGAATTTTAAAGAACCACAGTTTTGCTACTAGCATCCCGAGGGATCTACACTGTCTGCATCTAATATGACAGAGCAAGGGTTCCTGTTTCTCTCCTGCTTCAATCCTGCTCAACTTGGACCACACCTCTGTGAAGCCCTCAATCTCCCAGGCAGGCTGGCCCTGATACTGTTTGTCCTCAGGTCACAGAAGCCAAGTTGCCCTCTCAGGAAGGGCCCAGGCAGAAGTCTCTTCAAGGTACAAGGAACATTAACAAGTCTATCAAGTACTATAAAACATATGTTTAACAAGGAATTCAAATCTTCTCATTCCCCCATTCACCTTGTAAGACCTTTCTGCAAATATTTTAATGCCCCACGTCATGCAGTAAAACCCTTGTTTACACAAAGGCCAACTGCATTCTCTGCTGAAGCAAATGAAGCAGAGAGAAGCTTTCCCCTTTCTTTCCTTATGCCCATTCTTTTAAAACTAGGGGACTCCAGCCAATGGGGAGAAGACAGTCACACTTCCAGGCCCCTGTGCTTGCTCTTCTGAAAGCACCCTCCAAACCAAGGGTCAGATTTGCCCTGGCAATCGCTTCAATTGGGGAGGGGGTCTTTGTCTTTGCCCAAACTTATTTCTAATACGTATGAAATGAGAGCCATAATGTTGAATCTTTATTGATCTACCGCTACCACCAAAATGAAACAAAGCAAAACAACCCAAAAAACACAACTAAAGGATAAACAAAAGTCTAGGGAAACTGATCCCTTTAAGAAAGCCAAGTTTTCAAGCCTGTAGGAAGCATTTATTTGCATACACCAGGTCCATGAATGTAAACAATACCTAAGCCTAGCTCCCAGTGAAATGTATTTGTAGCAGTTTATAGAGTCTAAGGTGAGTTAGTATACAGCTGAGTTTGGAAATTAACCCTTTGCACACTTTCTATTACTTCTTGACCACCTGCAACACTTACATGCAGTTTATCCAAAATCCCTGCAATCAGTTAAGATTATTTTGTTATTGCCACCAGCAATAATATATATAATAAAGGCAACTGATTTCATTGCAGACGTTAATTTTGGCTCTATTAGCTATGTCTCCTTGGACAGGTGGCTTGGTCTCTCTAAGATACATATGCTTCTTCTATAAAACTAGTATAGACTTTACCTTTTCGAGAGAGTTATTGTACATAGTGAAATATACTGTATAAAGGCCTCAACAAAAAGTACTATCATTATAATTCCTATTAACAACATATACAGTAATTATGACTCATACATGCATGAGAATTACACTGGTCTCTTTGTCCTCCACAAATGTAGTTTGAAGAAAATAACTCCCAGGAAGGCAAATATGGTCAGAATTGGCTAAAATTGAAACATAAAACTCAAGCTCCATGAATTTGCCAATTACTAACTTCCTTATAAATCTTTTAGTCCTAAACATGACACATCTATGTGTCGATTCCTTTGTTCTTTGAGTTAATGTTCCTAAGGTGCATGTTTAATGTGTATGTGGGACAGTCCTACCACTCTACAGGATTTAGTGATGTAATAATTACCAAAAATAAAAGTCTGATCTCGCTATTCCCCATCTCAATCCTAAATGGCCCATTTGACACTTAAAGTGTGACATTGTTGAATACTATTTTAAAAACAAGGACACACCTCCTGGCTATGTAAACTTGGGTTAGGAACCCTTGGTTCCTAACTCAGTGGATCACTTTATGGAAATGGATATTGAAGTGTCTCTCATAATCAGGTTTCTAACCATGCCAGAAATTGATGTAAAAGAAATGACAACGAAAGTTACCCAATTTCTCAATGCAATTCTGAGTTGGGGACAAAAGCAGCTATTTTGAGGACTTCAGGGCAAGTCTGAATTCACATTGACCAGACTAGGCTTACAAATCATCCCTGGCTATTCAAATACTAATTTGGCATTGCTGTAAAAGGATTTGAACATGTGATAGCCACTTACAAATGGTTTGCTTTAAATGGAGGCAATTACCCTTGGTGACCTCAATGGATAAGATTAAAAATTTAATCTACACCCCATGCCCAAGAACTCCAGCCTGCCTACTCTCTGTCTTGTGAGCTCACTCCTGCCAAGAAATTTCCCTTATACACAATCCACGGACTCTGCTTCTCTGATGTAACTGTTGGAAAACACCAAGAACTAATAACACTGGGTTCTCTTGTTCTTAGGTGGTGTACTGATGGGAGATGTCATTCTGTAAATATGTTTCTCTTATTGGTTAATGAACAAAGCACTGTTGGCCAATGGGAAAGCAAGATAGGCAGGACAAGGAGACAAGGAGGATTCTGGGAGATGTAGTAGAGGAGAGTCAAGATGTAGGGACTTGAGAGAAGAGGTCTGGATTCTCTCTCTCCGGTAAGGAAAGACCACATGGGAACACTTAGATTAATAGAAATGGGTTAATATTTAAGACAGAGCTAGCCAATAAGAAACACTAGTAACTGGCCAACAGCTTTTACATCTACACAGCGTCTCTGTGTGTTATTTGGGGCTGACGAGGCAGTGGGCCCAGGTTGGTGGGAAAAGCGCTCGTAACAGTGTACAATTAAGTATTTAGGAGGGAAGCATCAGTAGGTCTATAACTTGTTTTAAAGTGGTTCAGAAGAATAATTCATCTCATCTGTCTCTCTTTTAAGCTTTCGAAATGTGGCTGGTGACATTTAAAACTGCATACACGGTTTTATGTATGGTTTCCACCATATGTCACCTTTAAAGGCTCTATCCTGATCCTCTGCCATGTCTTTCCTGGTCAAACAGATGCCAGCCACTAACTAGCTATGGCTTATGGCATTTACCATTCACCAAGGGTGTTCAAGTTCAAAGCAACACAATGGTCCCCAACTCAAGCTGTGTGCTGAGGTCAGAGGAATATGACCCTGGAGTATCCCTCCCACCACCATCAGGTGCGCAAGCATGATACAGACATGGGTGTTGGGAATCCAAACTCAGATTTCTGGAAGAACCGCAAGTGCTCTTAACCACTGAGCCAGCTCTTCAGCCTCTCAAGAGGTTGTTTATTTGCTTGGTGTATGTGTTTTAATTTAAAAAAAAAAAATTAAGTGTGTTTGACTCAAGCAGAGGGTCAGAATTTAGTTTCCAGTACCCACACAGGGCAGCTCACAACTGTCTGTAACTCCAGCTCCGGGATTCCATGCCTCTGGCCTCCAGGGCACCTGAACTCAAAGGCACAGCCTGCTCCTTCCTCCATACACATAATTTAAAAAGGAAAAGAAACTCTTACAAAGAAACAAAACAAAACGATAAAAGCAAGCAAACAAACAAACAAAGGCCCCTTGATGCCTAGGTCGTTATTCCATCATAATTAAAAATCAGCACTTCCTGGTGAGACCCAGGCATCAGGTCTGGAAAATTCCTCATGTGGTGTACAGCCAAGTCTAAGAGTCACTGTTCAGCCTCTCCTCTTTTAAATTTTTTTAAAATTTATTTTATTGTTTTTAAAATTTGGCTTTTCTAGATAGAATTTCTCTGTGTAGCCCTAACTGTCCTGGCACTCACTCTGTGGACCAGGCTGGCCTCAAACTCAAAGATCTGTGTCCCTCTACCTCCTGAGTGCTGGGATTAAAGGTATGAGCCACCATGCCAGCTAATTTAAAAAATTTTAAGTAGTCTTTAATAATATGGTATCAGCACAGTTTCTAACTAAGCTACACATGAGAATTTTTTACTTAACGCTTGAACAGAACCAGGACATCTCAGGAATGAGTCACCGCAGCTACCACCGGGCCATACCTGTTACCAGGGGGAGCGCACAGCTCTGCATAGTACTTGATTTTGGGCTCTGTCCCGCTGGTCCGCATGGTGGCCACGCCTCCATTAGCAAAGGTGAAGGTGATCATTTGGCTGCTCTTGCTGGTAGGAAGAACCTAGAGAGTAATTGGTACATGTTACACACTTAGACAGTAACAACTTATTCTGACCCACTGAGTACCGTCTTAAAAAAGCAAGAAAGTTCATACCATACGAGCAAATATGCTACAAGGACATCCCTCAGAAAGAGTCAGAGAATGCAATCCTAGCAATGAGTGAACAGCTTTCTACTTCTATAAATTTATTGCAAGTTATCAAGGTTTTGCTCAAAGAAAAACACATTGTTTCAGCTTAATAACGTACTACAGAAAATTCGATCATACCTCAATGTTGCAAACTGAAACTTTGACCAAAAAAAAAAAAAAGGTTTTTGTGTATGTGTTTCTGGCACAAATTGACATATGTATTACTTATAGTTGTTAACTTCAGAACAGCACTAACGTTAACAGTAGAGGAAAAGAGAGGGTAAAACTTGACGAGGAGGTCACTCAATCATGAAAGACAGGAAACAGATAAAGATTTAGAAATAGTATGATGAAACATGTGACTGTGGGGTCCCAGTACCCCAGGGGGAGACAGAAACAGGAAACAGAGACACTAGTTTGCAGAAGTCCGGCTGGACTCAAGAATTGGAGGTACCAGGTATGCCAAAGGTCTGTGTGAGGTGGTGTGAAGCACACAAATGGGATTAAAAAGAAGCCACCAGATGCGCCAAGACATTCCCTCCTAGCCTCTGGAGTCAGGCGCTCCAGCTCTTGTCCGCCTTCAAAGAATGCTTATAGTCTCTGACATCTGAATCAAAAAGGCTCAGGAACCAGCATCAGCAGGCACCATGCATGGCGTGTAGGGTATGATGGACACAGTGAGACATCCCCTAGCCACACTCTAGGGCCCTGACAAGCCAATTTACATCCCTCAGGAAACCAGTTAGGAATTAGGCTCTGGACCAGCCCAGGAGCTCCAAAATGAAGGTCAATCTCAGAATAGTTGTCTTGCTACTTAAGACCCTCAAAGCACACTAGGTCATTTGTCATGTACATACAGACCTTACAACCAGGTAGGCATGCAAAGGATACCAAGGGACCCCTAGGAATAACAGTGGGTAAATAAGTCCAAAATTAACAGGAAAAAAAAATGGAGGGGGGGCATAAAAGCTATATGGATGAAAAATAGTCATAGTTTTTAAAAAGAATCTTTAGAGAGCTACAGTATGCAAAAACAGCAATAGGATGTCATTCTGAAAAAAAAAATTAGAATGAGAATTGAAATTAACAGTCAACAGGAACACTAAAAGTTAAAAGTTGAGAAAATCTCTCAAAAAGGAGAAAACAGACGGGAGGAAGGGTATCAGTCCTGGAGACCCAGCATCAACCTCAGAGCTCTTCAAGAAAACATTCAACCACGACCCTTCCTTGACGTATCACCAAGGACACTGAGACCTACAGGCAACGATGCCACAGACCGGAAGACACTGTGATGGCTGACTTGATCGGATTGAGACGTGACGAGGAAAGCTACACAGCACACGCTGGCATGTCTGCGGAGGTCATAGTATTAACTAGCCATCATACTTAAGGCTCAGATATGCTTCACGAGAACCGGCAGGGGGCTACTAAATGTAGGAAGTGTATGCCTGGATTCTTGGTTTCCATGCAGAGGAAAAAGTTCCGTGGCAAACACCAGGAGAAACAATCGTGAGGGAAGCTGGTTGTTTCAGTATGGCAATTAAGATGCCATACTTCATCATAATCCTTTTAATGAAATTTATCTCCTGTAAGTATGTGTTCATATGAAAAATTTTAAGACAGAACACAAAGGAAAGTGTCAAGGAAGACATCTAGTAGCTCATCAGGTTATTCCTGCCCACCTCCTAAACCTCTGGCTGCAGGAGATCCTACTGCAAACACAGCCCTTACAGTGAGCAGGCCACACGCAGTCAGAGAACAAGTGGCCCTCCCAGAGTGGACCAGCATCTAGTCCCCTTGAACCTTACTAGATGTGCCAATTCCTTGTCCCAATCCCTGGCCTACTCAACGAAAATCCCCAGGGTGACCTTCGGCACCGTTTGCTTGCTTGTGACTGGATGTCATGATATAGTCCAGGCTGACCTAAGACTCAGACTTCTGGTGTCCCTGTCTTGATCCCCAAGCTAATCACACACCCTCTGTGGAGTGACACGTGTTCATGAAGAGGAAAAGCAGAGTCCAGAGTCAAAAGCAGAGTCCAGCTCCACCTGGACCCTCGCCCGTCACTGCCCTTCTGAGTCATGGTGTCCTTGCATGTGAAAAGATGCCTTTGGATGACAGTTATCAGCAAGTGACTTGTGAGGTCACTTGAATTTCTAACCCATGATTCCTAGTTTTCCCACACAGCTTATCTTAGTTTTTTATTCTTTTTTCAATGCTAGGGGTCTAACCTGGGACCTTGTACATGCCAGGCAAGGAGCCTATTCCCAAGCTACATACCGCTAGCCCTTATTTCCCTGGTATTTTTATTACACTAACACTTAGGTTGCCCCAAGTCAGCTTCAACCAACCGTGTGAGTAAATGGATCTGTTCAAATTGCAGAAATGGCAAACACAAAATCAATTAGTTGATCAAAGTGAATATCACTTACAGCTTTTTTGTCAGGCTGACTGTCATCATAGCCGGTTGTGAGGTCCCTGATAGCAGAGATTTCAAACTTGCCGCACGTTTTGGGATAGTTATTCTTCCCATCATAGTTTCTCAGGTTCCCGAATAATTTTTTAATGGTGCCTTGATCATGGCAGATAAAGTAGGAAGCTTTGGTAATATGATAGCCATACCTATAATGGAAAAAGGAAATCCCACAAATTTAAGCAAAACGGGCCACAAAAATTCTGTACACTGTATGCAAGATATGTACCAGCTAGCACATTCTAAAATAAGTGAAACAGGTAGCCCTTACCAACTTCAGAAGAATATTCTAACATTAAAGAAGAAGTTGGGTCTGGCAAGATGGTTCAGTGGGTTAAGGCACTTGCTGCCAAGCCTGATGACCTGAGTAGATCCCCAGAACACACACGGTAGAAGGAGGGAAACAATTCCTCTCAGTTGTCCTCCCATCTCCATTTGTCAAAGAACACATGAGGCAGAACAGTACCAATAAGATGGTAGCATGCGTGTACCCACTCACACACATACGTACATAATAAATAAATATAGCAAAGAAAGAAAAAGAAAAGGGGCTGTAGAGATGGGCTCAGTGATTTCTTCCAGCATCCTCATCCGTGGTTCACACCCATCTGCAACACCAATTTCAAGGGACCCAATGACCTCTTCCGGCCTCTCTGGGCACCAGGCACACACATGGTGCACAGACACATGCCGTCAAAACACCCAGACACATAAAATCAAAGTGAATACGCTTAAAAAGAAAATGAAAAGCAGGTCCGGGGTAGAAGAGATAGCACAGTCATGCCTTCCAAACAAGAGGACCTGATTAATCCCCAGAACTCAAATACAAAAAAGATGGGCACGGAGGTGTATGCTTTGGTCGGGGCCCTTGGGAGAAAGAGAGAGGCAGACCCCTGGGGATTGATGGCCACCAACCATGCCTGCCTGTCAAACTCCAGGCTAAGGCAGGACAGTATCAATAAGATGGTCACCTCCTGAAGGAAGGAAAGCCGAGGTTGTTCCCTTAACCACATGCATACAGAGGGAGAACATGAATCAGGGATCTACTCTAGGTTGGCGGTGGAGCTAAGTTACGGCTTCCAGGAACACAGCCATGCTACACAGGTTATAGCTTCTGCACTGCACAGGCACAGTGCAGTACTTGGTAAAAAAACTGATCCCAGTATCAATTCCTTTAATCTTTTTATGACATTGAAGACTTGAAGTCACACCCCTCAATCAAGTCATTTGTGCAACGCTCTCATGAGTTAGAATCCAGGCCAACTGCAAATGGCCGTTGCTAATTAGTGGTGACACATCAAAAGGAAAAGGCGATCCAGGTTTCTATCAGAAACAGGACACGTCACCAAAGTCACAAGAACACTTCAAGTATGACCATCAAACCTTCAATAGTCCATAGGCCAGTGGTTTGCTGCTGTGGGTCACGACTCCTTTGGTGGTCACCTATCAGATATCCTGTATACCAGATATTTACATCATGCATGATTCATAACACTATTGAAATGAGTTACGAAGTAGCAATGACATAATTTTATGTTGGGGGGGTCACCACAACATGTGGAGGTGTATTCAAGGAAGATTGAGAACACAGTCATAGATACTTACTCCACATAGATGGCCTTCAGCTGCTGAGACAAAGACAGATTCTTGGTTGCTAGAAAGCTCGCCAGTTCTGCAGTTATGACAGCTGCACTAACTCCATCCTTGTCCAACACAAAGGGACAGCACATATATCCTGCAGATGAAGCCGTAGTTGCATACATAGCCTTAGGAGTGAATTCTGTGACCCCCCCCCCACTAGAACAGGTTACATGAGTGTGGGCCTGCTGGCTATGACATGTGAAGAGTCTGGTCTGGAACAGACACACGTGTTTTTCATTTATGTCATGTTTGAGAATTTAGGTATGAATGCGGTTCCACACCAGGGTGCTTATCATAAAGTCCTGGATGTGGGTCCCCAGTAGGCCAGAGTGTGATCAGCTTACACTGAGCTGGGCGTGGAAATGCTCGCTAGCACTTGGGAGATGGAGGCAGGAAATCAGACCATGTTATCTTTGGCTATAGAGTTTGAGGCCAGTTTGGGTTACACAAGATCCTGTCTCAAAAACAAAACAATTTAACCCAGTGTCTTGAACACAGAAGCCTTGAGCAATCTGTGTTGATGGCCTGTGTGGAGATTTGCCCTGCTGGCAAGGGTGTTCACTGACTAGACTCAGCACCATAGCTCTAGATCAGATGAAGTTAGTTCTACCTGTTTCAGTCACTATCAACCTCCGCTTTTTCTTGGAAACCTGGTGGTTCTCAGTAATTGCACTATTCATCTTGACAGCTGGCCCTGACACGCTTAGGTGTGGTTACTAATTGGAGCTGCTGGAGGCTGAGGTCAATATCGTATATTTCGGAGTCCCTGAGTAACATCTACAATCAGTACTTGGGCGAACACTATCTCCTCAACGAAAGTCATAGAAAGACAACCATGAAAATGTGACTTCCAAAAGGCAGCAGCTGTGCTAGCCCTCTGCCATGAGCTGGTTAAGCAAGTGTCCCTCTGCTTTAACACACATACAGAACACAGAGTCTGAGTTTGCTAAGTTAACAGCTCAGCTCATGTGTGCACAAACGACAGAATGGTCTACGTCCATCCCCAGCTCGCCTAGTTGAGGATAAAGGCTTTTCAGTAATTCTGGCTGAACTTTTCATGTCCTTTCCTATGACAATGACTGTGAGGACAGGAGACCATACATACAGCTGCCTTCTTCTCCCTGGGCAGACTCAGCATACATTCCCCATTAGACTTCTGGAAGAGGGTGGACTTTACCAGTGAATGAAAGAAAGAAACAGGGAAAGAAAAGACATGACTGCTCTTAGGTATGGTGGAGGTGAAGGTTTATTTAGACATGAGGGAGAACATAGCCAGAGACAGAGAACATAGCACTGAGCCAGGGCATGTAAAAAGATGGGGCTGGGGTGAAGGGCGGAACCCGGAGAGTAAAGGGTAGATAAAATGAGGTGGGCAACCAACATGGCTGGATTGTATAGGGAAGGGTACTTGGAGAAGGGTAGCCCAGCCCCTGGACTGCATAGTTGTAGGGTAGGGAACTGGGTATGTACCCTATAACAGGTAGGGACTGAGGGATGCTGGGAGAATCCAGTGGCCAGGTCTGCTTTGATGTATTGAATAGGCACCCCAGTTAGGCATTTGTCCCAGGTTTCAGATCCTAACAATCAGCTCCACAACCTTGTACAGAATGTCACCGCTGTCATTTATGTGTGGATGGCCCAATTATTTGCATGCTATGCTTTTTTTTTTTTGTTAAAAAGGTATGAGATTCCAATTTTGGAGTAGTTCAACACTTGATCCAAATAAGAGAATCGAGGTAAACTTTGTGCTTTCATTTCATTGGTATCACCTGAGCTCAAACTCAAATCCTTCTCTCATTTCTGTATTGTGTGAGTGTGTGAACATGTGTGAACGTCATTATTTCTTCTTACCAATAGCTTCTTCAAATGCAAACAGGACTGTCTTCCCCTGGTCTGCTAGCTGTTTGGCTCTGTTTCCCATCCATTTGAAGCCTGTTAATGTTTCCTAAAGGGACAACCCAAAAGAAAAAAAAATGCCTTGGTGCTGGGGATAATTTCAGTGGGTAGAGTGCTTATCTAGCCCTGAGTTCAATCCCCAGCACCACATACATGGGGTGTGGTGGTCCATGCCTGAATCTTAGCAAAGGGAAGGGGAGGCAAGGTGATTCTTGGCTATGTGTGAAGTTCAAAGCCAGCCTGGGCTGTATGAAGCCCTGTCTCAAAATATAAAAGAAAAAATGAAAGGGGGAAAAAATGTCTCAGGAAACATGAACATCTTACCTCGAAATGAAAGCCCTCCTTCAAGGCAATGGCCCGCAAGATCTTAGAGGAGACGGTGCTGGACAACATGTATGTGTCTTTGAGGGTGCTTCGATCATGGCTCTTTTCTTTCCAGGACGTGAAGAGCCACCATCCCAGCAGGGCCCCCAGCTCGTTGCCTGAGAACACTCTCCACTCACCACTACAAGGAAACAGCCTTTTGTTTTAGCAGCCTTCAGGAAGGCACAGAAGTCCCTGGAGCTGGGCAGATGAAGCTCTGTCCTGTGATAGTTTGATCCCACTCTGATAATAAAGTTTGCTTTAAGTCAGAGGGTGGAGCTAGCCACTAGCTCACCAAAATTAACCATAGAGGTTTTGGAGGACTGAGGACAGATAGGAGACAGGAAGTAGTAAGGCAGGGCTGAGAGAGGCTGTCAGCCCTTTGGGATGGAAGACCAGAAGAGAGATGAGGTCACTGATGTATTCTCTGATCATTCAGGTTTTCACCCCGATATCTGACTCCCGACTTTTTTATTGATAAAGAATAAATAGATACATGCTTCAAATCCCAGCATACTTTCTGTAAACCTGTTTCCGGCCTTTAAATAACTGGGCTAAAATGGATCTGCCACATCACAAATGTCTGAGCAGCTTCCCAATTCTTCCAGACAAGCATTAATGTCTTTGAAGATGGTCTACAGCTAGCATGCTAAAGAGGACACAAGCACTTCCATCTTTGACAAAGGCTATATATAGTGTGAAAATGTACCAGACAAGCTCATATTATCCTTTGCAAAGACCATATGGTCATACCAGTCTTAAACATGTCAACACCTGTCTGTCTCCCTGAAACCAACACTGTCTTGAAGGTCCAGTGCTTTATCAAATCCACTGGCAGAAAATGAAACTGTAGAGCTAGCATCATGAAAAAGACCTTGCCTTGTCAGGCATGGAGACCTTCACATATTAAATTCAATTATAACATGAGGGGTCACAAAGAGTCCCATCAGTTGCCAGCATGCACTGGATTGCTTTGCTCTGTGCTACACCACTGTCCTGTTAAAGGAATCCCCCAGAGGTTGTAAAAACAAATAGAAAGACTTGGAAAACATCCCATGTGGACCCAACCTTCCCGGAAGCACATCATTGCTAAAGATGGCTTTCTGTGTATTTTTCACGACACACGCAAACAAAGTTAATTTTACCTGTCTTGCTTTTCTGCCACAGCAAGTCTGTCCGCATCTGGGTCGTTGGCTAAGATAACCTTGGCCTTGATTTTGTCAGCCAAGGCGAAGGATAAAGTCTGAAAGCAAGTGCAGAAAAGCAAAGATTACTTAAGGAAAACACGGAGCACACACATATCTTTAGAACGTGTGTGGTCTCATGAGTTGTTAAGGCTTTCCCCAAAATTGGGGCTGCAGGGTTTTTGTTATTGTTGTTACTTTGTTTTCTGCTTTTTTCTTTTCTTTCTTTTTTTTTCCCCCCTAAAGCTGGTTTTGCTTAGTCAGATTTTATTTTATCTTAAGTTGGAGGTCAGATGACCAGAGTTCTAATATATATCCCATCCCTACCCTGTGACCGCACAGAACTGTGGCAGCCTGTGGCTGAACTGGTATTTCTAGGCACTGTGTGTCTGGCCACACAAACCTGACCAAGGCAACTCTCTCAATGTCACTATTATCTAACCTTTCAGAATGATATGTATATGTGAGCCATACTGCCAATTATATCCCTTAACAATAAGTAATGGAATTTAAAAAAAAAAACCCTCCATTCTATCATCATTACTTCTTGGCAACATAGGAACTGTCAATTAAAATTTAATTTAATTTTGGCAAGAGAGATGGTGCTGTGGTTAAGAGCACTGGCCGCTCTTCCAGAGGACCCAGGTTCAATTCCTAGCACCCACATGACAGCTCACAACTGTCTGTAACTCCAATCCCAGGGGCATCCAAAGTCCTAACACAAACATACGTGCAGGAAAAACACCAATTCACATAAAATAAAAGTAAATAAATATTTTTTAAATTTAAAGAATATTTTATATTTTAGCTCTTATATCCTCTTGTAAGATCTCATTTGAAAGTTCCTTTAAGAAATTAATAACCACTCAACATACATATTTCCAGAGATAGAACTCATTTTTTTTTTTTTAAGCACAACAAAAACATCATGTACTTGATAACAATGGTTTAGGACAGTGGTTCTCAACCTTCCTAATGCTGTGATCCTTGAATACAGCACCTTGTGTTGTGGTGACCCCCAGCTATAAAATTATTTTCATTGCTACTTCATAACTGTGGTTTTGTTACTGTTATGAATCATAATGTAAATATCTGTGTTCCAATGGGCTTAGGTGACCCTTCTGAAAGGGTCGTTTGACCCCAAAGGTTGAGAACCGCTGGCTCAGGGTATGAAAGGTAGAGTTTATTATTTAATAAAAGTAGGTTACCAAGACACCTTTACCCTCCTCAGGATTCGGGTATTTGACAGTTGGAAACTCAGGATCCGGATCTTTCTGTTCGGGAACAGCCTCAGGAGGAGCAAGGTCAAAGGCCTTGAAGGCCAGCTGTACAAACTCATGGCCCACGCCATGGACAGAGGTGTGCACAAACTTCACATCGCTCTCCCTGTTCACACTCCTGGAGTGGCACAAAATGGGAAACACACGGATGTGAACAAGGCTCTCTAGGCGGGAGGGTTCAGAAAATACCGAGGGCTGGGCACTTCAGATTGTAAGACAACATCCCTGATGTATGCTGACAGGGTAGCTATGGGCCTCTCAGAGAGAACTAAGCTACGTCCTCCACATAGAACCAAAAACGACGATGACGTCAGAGTCAACACCACAAAATGCCAACACAAAAGTAGACGTTTCCCCTTAACACTCTTGGTATGGAGTGTTTTCAAGAATGAATAAAACCCAGAAACCAAAAATTAGAAGACAACCAAATAGTAACACAATTGTTAAAAGTTCCAATAAAAACTTTCAAAAGCAACAATAGGAAAGTAGATACCCGAAATAAACAAGACTGTTTTCTAAAGCCAACGGACTGAGAAAATTGGCAGAAAAGACAAATGTATATCAAATAAACTTGAAAAAAGTTTTCATAATTAAAGGATGTAAGTGAAAGTGAGATATTACTCTCATCTAACAAAAGGGGGGGGGATGATAAATTTGATAATGCTAAGCACAGGGTCAGACATGGGTCCTGGGTTACTACCACAGGCTGCAGGTGTGGGTGCCAACTACCCTGATATTCTTGGACGGCAGTTTGCTGATCACCTTCAACCTTGTAAATGGATATACATTATATGTATTATATATCATGCAAGAATTTTTCGCACACACACACACATGTGAGCATGCACGCACAATTGTTGGTTCTCATGCTATTTTACATGATTTAAAAAACAAGTCTGTCAACTCTTTAAAGAAGGGGCAGAGGGAAAGCTCTCAGATGTATCTTGTTTGCATCGCCTACCAATGAGAGGAAAATAATAGCCACATTTTTTTTTTTTTTCTGAGTCAGGGTTTCTCTGTGTAGCTTTGTAGACCAGGCTGGCCTCAAACTCACAGAGATCTGCCTGCCTCTGCCTCCCAAGTGCTGGATTAAAGGCGTGCACCACTACCACCCAGGGATATCCACATTTTTAGATATTCCTTTTTTAGAGAAAAATAAAATTCAGTGAGCTGGCGCTCAGATCTCTATCCCATGGTCCAGGGAGATCTGTTAGCCAGTGTGTTCTGATGGGTTCTTCTGCATATATGTTTCTCTTATTGGTTGATGAATAAAATACTGATTGGCCAGTAGAGGCAGGAAGGTAGGCAGGGCTGGGAGATGAGGAGAATGCTCGGGAGAGAGGAGAGAGATGCCTGGAAGAGACACCATGTAGAGACCAGGAAGATAGGACACACCAGGCATTCTCTGGTTAAATAAAGCCATGTAGAAATACATAGATTAGTAGTTATGGGTTAATAATTAAGAGGGAGCTAGTCAGGAAGAAGCCCATTAGCCAATATCTTTATAATTAATATAGCACTTGTGTGTTTATTTGGGGCCAAAGGGTGGCGGGAGCTGGTAAGACAGAAACCTCCATCATCAGTGGTCTCTCCCTTCAGATGGGATTGGGATCCCCTTCAGATGGGGAATGCCAGGCCCAGACTGTCTGACAAATACAACATCAGACAACTTAGGCACTCAGCTTCTTGCCAAGGGACAATGAGGAGTAGTGGAACCTAGACCCTCGTGTGTATCCATACAGGTATATATAGACACAGCTACACACACACACACACCACTTCAAACTGTGGCCCATGGGCTGGCCACCTGTATTTGTCAATAAAGCCTCCTGTGCTATTTGCATACTAGAATAGCAATTTTGAGGGGTGAGGATGGGCTCCATATAGCTGGCAAAGTCCTTAAGATCTGTTATTAATTCCTTTAAGAAAAAGTGGGCAGCTCTGCTGTTGACCCTTACACATGTAGCTACCGTGTATGCACCAAGTAAAAGGGACAAAAAGAACCAAAGGCCAAACAGAGTCTGGATGAATCACATTAGCTGAAGTGAAGCCACAATCCAGTTACCTGTGAAAACAGTGTTTTTTCAGGTCTTCAAAGTAGTCATGGCTGATGGAAGTGCTGGGGTTGTGAAGAAGGGGACTGCTGTCAATCAAAGACTCATCCCAAGCCTGCGGCCAGGGCTCTAGATTTTCTTCAATAGCTTGAGAAATGCCTTGATCGTGTGGAGAGATGATCTGCGCTCCATTGTCCCAGTAGACCTAGAAGAGCCAGGAATACATTTAGCAGGTTCAGGGTGCAGAGCATCCGCTCCCAAACAGCACAGGAGCCTGGTTCCTTGTAAGAACACTGTGTGAGGGGAGAATGTACCTTATAGCCATTGTCCTGCTTCGGATTGTGAGAGGCAGTGATCATGATGCCGGCGCAGAGTTTCAGATGTGACACTGTATAGGGCTGGACAGGACAGGAGACAATTCTTAACAAAGATAAGACTGAGTGGAAATACCTAGTGTACATGGCATGGACCCCCTCATTCCTATTTATTACCCTAATATCACACATAACATACATTCAGCATCCTGTGTCCCGTTCAAGCAGCATCCAGCACCCCCTCATCTGGGGTTTTGCTCTGCTCTGTTTCTCGTGGCCCAGGAAGATGAGTATCTGTCTTAACTCTTTCAAGCAGGGCTCACACGCACATAACTTCATGCCAGGATACAGCTACAACTGTTCTATTTCACAATTATTAATGCCTATGGTCCTTTATATCCTTAACCCATAAACAGAACATTCATTGGCATGAACTGTGGGCTACAAGCTGCATAAACATTTATATTGTCTGTGGCTTCCTCTATCATGGAATAGTTTGCTTGTGGCTAAGAGGAGACTATTATAGTCTTATCATTCTAAAAAACACTAGCTGCCCAAAGTTCCAGAATGTTAATCCTAAGAACACAGGTGAAATATTTCCTAAGTGTTCCCTCCTTCTGCTTTCTCCTTTACAGAGCCAGGAAACTCTCTGAAGACAGAGATGGGCCAAGCCTCCATCCTGCATTTATTCAATGCTTTTTGCTCAAGAAGGAGCATTGTCTACTCTCTGCACTCATTCCCTTTCCTGCCTTTTTCTTACTCACCAAGGAAAAAGTTGAGACAATGGAGTATGCACTCAGACAGATTCTTCATCTCTCACTCCAGGGTTGACATTTTAGATCAGTTCCCACCCTTACAAGATGTCGTGCCAAAATAGAGGAAGAGACTAGACTCATACTGAGTCATATGAGATTTCTACATAGGCAATCTGAGATTTGAACCATCTGATTCTCTCTACCCTACTGTAATTTTCTCCTTGGAAGTTATGTAACATTCTTTGGGGTTGTGTCCTGGTACAGAGAAATGGGCAGAACTAGGCAGGTGTGGTGGCTTATGTCTGAAATTCTAGTACCTAGAAGGCAGAGGCAGGAGGATCACCATAAGTTCAAATGTTACAAAAACAGAGTTGCACATCAGGCCCAGATCTTAACAGCTGAAAAGCAACATCTGTTACAGCCCCTAGTGGCTTCTGTTCATGAAGGACTCAGAAACACTCTAGCCAGGAATAACATTTGGAATGGACCATTCATATTTGGAGCTGGTACACTCGTACCGGTACAGTAATATAATGTTTGAGAGATGTAGACTCAAGAGATTTCCTAATTGTGATAACTGCAGTGAAGAACTACCTACCAATTAAACAAGATATGAGCATTTTGCTAATTTTCCAAATGACCCATAGAATTTGTGGTGGTTTGAAAGAAAACGGCCCTCAAAATGGGTGGCACAATTATGAGATACGGTCTTGTTGAAGTAGGTATGATCTTATTGGAGGAAGTGTGGAGACTGGCTTTGAGGTCTCATATGCTCAAGTCACGCCCAGTGTCTCAGTTCACTTCCTGTTGCCTGTGAGTCAAGATGCAAGAACTCTCGGCTCTTTTTCCAGTACCACGTATGCCTGAATGTTGCCTTGCTTCCTGCCAGGATGATAATAAACTAAACCCCTGGACTATAAGCGAACCACCACAGTTAAATGTTTTCCTTTATAAGGGTTGCCATGGTCGCAGTGTCTCTTCACAGCAATGGAAACCCTAAACTAAGGCAGAGGTCAAACAAAATAAAATGATATCTTGTCTTTCCTTTGGCGCTGGAGCTCGAGCCGCTGCCCCCGCCTGTGCTACCACTGAGGTGTAGCCCCAACGCTTATTTGACTTACAGAAAACCTATCTGTAATGGAGAGCTGCACCATCAGAAGCACATTACTAGCATGTCGGTGAAACTGACTTACAGAGAGAGGAGTTGGCCCAGTATATATCAAGGGATCGTCTGTTACCAAAACAGCCGGAGCCCAGCAGCACCACGGCCCCCTAAAACTCAGCAGAGTCCCACCCCAGGACTTGTGACAAGAGGTTGGAAGGGAAATGGTTACTTACCACAAATGGGGTGGGGGTTATATCCGAGAAGAGATGCACAGGAACCCCCTGGCTGATAAAGGCAGTCGCAGCCAGCCGGGCAAACCTAGAAGTGAAGAAACCGGGATAGAGGCGTGGTCAGGGATGCAGGCAGCGTTGAGAAACAATGAACAAGCATGCTCAGGGGCTTCATGTGTACGTGCTCGCCTAACAGAGCAGTGCGCATGCGTGCTAGGCAAGCACTTTCCTAACAGAGCGGCGCCCAAGGCCCAGTCCCCTTCCACCATGCCTTAAGATTGCACACGGTGGTGACAGAGGAAGGATTTTTCCCCCCTAATGTTTACACTGGCACAAAAAGAACACCAAAGCTGAGGACAGCTGGATAAAGGCCTCACGGGGCACCTTGCCACATGTCCAAGGCCACTGAGCATGTAAGCCAGGCCTGCGTTAAAGTCTTTCAACACTATCTCAACACAGTTCAGTGGCTCTTGCATGGGGTCATCTGTCCCTCACAAGGTGTCTGATGCGGAGGTGAGGTCAGTTGTCATGCTTGGGAGAGGGGATGTGTTAATGGCAATTAGAGGCCAGAGGTGCTCCCAAACACCTTACAATGCATAGGGAAGGCCCCACAGCAAAGAATGGTCCAGCCACTGTGAGATCGTACATCACTACTACGCGGAGGTGGTTTACAGGATACGAGAACCAGGCATGGTGGTGTGTGCCTATAATCCTGGCACTGTAGCAGACTGAGACAAGATAACCACGAAATTCAGTATCAGTATGAGCTTTGTAGTGAGGTTTAATCTCCAGATTGAAAAGATGAAAAAGTGCATGAGAAATTGTACACAGGTTTTACCCACATGCCTTGTTCTAAAGGTGATTTGTGCACACGCAGACCCAACCCCTCTACCCCTCTACCCTTCACCCCTTATCTCCCATCCCCAACCCCCAGACAGGGTTTCTCTCTGTAGGCCAGGCTGGCCTTGAACTCTGAGATCTGCCTGCAGATTCTGCCTCCCCTGTACTGGGACTAAAGGCATGCACCATCACCACCCGGGTCATTTTTATTTGTTTTTTGAGACAGGGTCTCTCTATGTATCCCTGGCTGTCTTAGAACTTGCTATGTAGACCAGGCTCGCCTTGACTTCACAGAAATCCCCCTGCCTCTGCCTTCTGAGTGCTGGGATTAAAAGCCCAGCCTAAACCATCAATTATGGGTTTAAAGTCAAGTTATTAAAACAAAACAAAACAAGATCAAAGGGCTGGAGAGATGGTTTTCAGTGGTTAAGAATCCATACTTTTTGTTGTTGTTTCAGAGACAGAGTTTCTCTATACAGCCCTAGCTGTCCTTGAACTGTCACTGTAGACCAGGGAAGCCTTGAACCCAGAGATCCTCCATCTGCCTCCCCAGTGCTGGGATTAAAAGCATGTGCCACCATGCCCTGCTCTCCCTTCTGTCCCTGCAGAGGCTTGTAAGTGGCCCAAAACTCCAGCTCCAGGGGATCTAATGCCTCTGGCGTCTGTGAGCACGTGCACCCACGTGCCCATTATCCATACACATGCAATTTGAAAGTGTTTTTTGAAAGTCAAATTACCGAAATGGTGATTAAAGATGAAAGTATAAAAGAAACTATGAGAAAAACCCTTTTATGAAAGAAACGTCTCTGGGTTCCATCCGCAAAGCCCCTAAAACACCCAAGTACCTCTTGCTGCTGCCTCCACTGGCAGGGTGAGCTCTGGCATCGAAGCTGATCACCACGCCCCTCTGCTTCAGGTCGCTGAACTGCTTTTCCAGGTACCTGCAAAATCCCTGAAAACAGCCCAGCGCTTGGTTATTTATCATACACATGATATAAAATCAGCCCCAAACTATATTTCCCCCACTTTCTCAGGACCTTGTCACTCACGTGGGGAGGGGTATGCAGAGTGTGAACAGTGAGATGAAAACAGCTTTTGGTGTTTTTGTTTTTTCTTTCCTGTCTAAGTCAGATGCTGTGCGGCACAGCTAGAATCGAATATCTCCAGGTTCAGACCAACTTACTCAGAATTTCCACCGTATGCCATGTAAGTGGAGCTGCCCCTGGGGGTCAGAAGAGTGTGCTGGATCCCCCAGAGCTGGAGTTACAGGTGGTTGTGAGCCACTAGTGGTTGCTGAGACCTAAACCTGAATCTTCTACAAGAGCAACAAGCACTCTTAACCACTGAGCCATCTCTACAGCCCTTTATCTATTTATTTTAAATTATGTATATGTGTGGTGTCTGTGTACGGGTTTGTGCACATGAGTATAGGTGCTCTTGGGGGCTGGAAGAGGGTGCCAGCTCGAGTTACAAGCAGTTGTGAGTCGCCGGATATGCGTGCTGGGAACCAAACTCAGGTCCTCTACAAGAACAGTACGCACTCTTAACCGCTGAGCCATCTCTCCAGCCCCCCTGAAACCATCTTTTAATGAGATTAGCCCTGAGTTAGAATGGGCTATTTCAGAGGGCAGTGAGTTCTTAGTCACTGATGCGTCCAGGTTAAACTGAGTATTTATTCTCAACTCATCACAAAGAGAGCATCAAAAATCACACAAATTAATCTTCATAAGGAACTCATGACCTTTGCCAGTGAGGCAAACAGCAGGGGCGGTTGCCTCCAGTCTCTGCCCTATTTCTTTGGGATGTTCTTTGCTCACATGCATGTGCTCCTTAGCCAAACCAGGGCAATTTTAAGGTACCACTGGGCTTGGCCTCATACCCAAAGGAGCAGCAGGAGGAGAGTCTATGCCACAGTGAAGGTGAGAATGTAATCAATCAATCACACTGTGTGCCAGAATTCTGTCAGGGACTGCCACCCACAGCTGGGCTAACAGCCAGAGTGGGCCATTCTGGGAGTCCTCTCTCCTTCAGTGCCAAGGTAACTCCTAAGATAACAAACCTGCTGCTTTTCTGAAAAATGTGCAGCCCTGAGCATCCTTGTGTCTCAAGGAAACGATTCCAGCATCACTGCAGAGTAGAGAGTATCTAAGGACCACTCCAATTGATGGCTGGAGAAACTAGATCACATATAAAATGTCTATCCACCGTGTTTTCAAAGGACCCTGAACTATACACACTCCTGAGGCCCACTTCAGAAGAGATCCATTATTCTAGAGGAAAAGTGGTCCTAAGGCATCTAAGAACTGCCCTGAGCCACATTTTCTCACTTCTGGAAATCAGAGTTGAATATCAGAGAAAGGGCTCCAGATTAATTTGCAATCTAGAGAAGCCCTGACAATCAGGTCTCACAGCCAGTGTGACAAATTAGATTATCCAAAGATGGCTATGGTAATATATACCCCACCAGGTGTCGCTGACCTTCTCTGAACAGGCAGAACATGGCAGGAATAAGTTTTGCTGTTTGAGTCCTTCATACAATCCAACACAGCTTCCTGCTGGCACATTCATACGTTCATATTCCCTGCCATCACTTTACCCAACAGGTCTGTAGATGAACAAAATCTCCACAAGGGAATCTGTCTTATTCATATCAGTTCACCATGCCTGACAATCAGTAGGCATTCAATAAATTTGTTGCATCGTTGACTGGGTGGATAGAAAGCTAATGCATTTTAAAATAAGGACCACACAAGCCTCGTTTTACAGATTAAGCAGTGGGACCTTTCTCTGCTTCCTCAGATCCAAAAATACATCCACAATTAAAACAAATTAAACCCATCAGCTGCATCAGAAGTAATCAGCAATGACCAAAGCATGGTACCTGTGTGGTTTGGATGATGGTCAAGTCATTCATTCTAGAAATCCCTGCTCCCATAGGAGCTCGAAGGCCAGCTGTCCCAAACTCCATCCGGGCCCCGAAGCATTTCTGTAGCTCTTCCTTATTACCCTCAGCAATGAGCTGTTTCACTGACTCCGAAGTTAAGGGATTCTGAAAGACAGACATGTATGTTCAAGGCACAGCTTGGTTAAGAGAAGGATGGAAAATCTGCAGTGAAGGCCACCTCCTTAACACACACACACACACACACACACACACACACACACACACACACACTTCTAATCTCTAGGCAAAACCTTTATATCTTCAGGCTTTTGCATTTTCTGATGATTTTGAGAGTATGATGCATTACTTTCTTTCCAACTGAGGTAAGCAGTTTTAGAGGAAACAAACAAGGTGCTGTTTAGGAATAGACATCATGTGCAGGGAGATTCCAGATCCATCACTTACAAACCCACGCTTGAGAAAGCTATAGAGTTTCCTGAGTCCTTAGTTTCCCCATGTATAAAAGCTAGAACCTCTCTTTTGCACAGTTTTCAACATTTTAAAGTAGTTTGTTTTTCTCTGCCTGATACTGAGTTGTGAGGTTCATCTCCTTCCTTAATGTCCTCAAATTCTTCCCAGGGTGTCAGGTCAGTCAATTTAACTAAACTAAACCTTACCTTTGTGGTGATTTATAGTTCTTAGAAAGTGTTTCTTTGTATCTGGTCAAGTTTCAATGACTCTAGGTCAAGCCAATAATAGCTGATAGCTTTAGTAGCATTTTATACTACAAAATAATCCCAGGGACTTGGGATGGAGAGGTAGGTGAATCTCTGTGAGTTTGAGGCCAGCCTGGTCTACAGAGTGAGTTCCAGGACTGCCAGGGCTACACAGAGAAACCTTGCCTCAAAAAAAAAAAAAAAAAAAAAAAAAAAAAAAAAAAAAAAAAAAGAAAAGAAAAGAAAAACAAAAAAAAAAAAAAAAAAAAAAAAAGAAAAAAGAAAAAGAAAAAGAAAGAAAGAAAAGAAAAAAGAGAGAGACAGAGAAAGAGAAAAACTGAGTGGTTTGCTTAAACTGCACGATGAACATTATTAGCCTAGTGTCTTTTCTACTGCATTAGTGCAAATAGGCACAAGCATGAATAATTTAAGTTCACCATACATAGTCTTGCTTTCTTTGCGCAACAGTTCCAGATGTTAAGATTAGAGAAATGGACTGATTTCCTAACTCCACGTGGACTTCTGCAATAAGAGCTGAAGGAATACTGTAGAGTAAGCACTTTATTCCTGTGCCTCACTTACTAAAGCGAACACTGGGCAAGATAAGGCCCCATAATTACACTTTGAAGTGTGATTGCCGTAAAACTCTGGCTTCCTGGAATCAAGACTGTGATTCCAGATTGTTCCATATTCAAGAGGAAGCTGGACCAACCTTCTGATTAAAAACAATAGGTCCCAATTGCAGAGAACAATCTCACCCATTAAACTGTCAGGTGCCCCCAAGGAAAGGCACAGAGCTGGTATACAAAAGGAGCTCAACAAACACCTGCTGGGTGGATGAGAAAACACAGATTTCCTGGCCACACCCAATATCCAGGGCTCCTCTGAGCGCTACTGTAGATTTTGAAAGTCCTAATTGACCTTGGATATCTAGAGAAGACTCAGCAGCCTGAGAGAACAAAGCAGAGAGATAATGAAAAGTCAAGAGAGCAGCAGAGATGAGGTCAGACCTGGGAGTGATGGGAACTGAGAGAGGGAAGCATAAGGCAGGTGCCTTGCCATCCATCATGGGTGGACTAACAGCTTTGGCGCTTTCAGCTGGGAGTTTCAGTGAAAATGTGTGGTTGTTCCCAGAGAGGCACCTATCTCAGCTAAACAGAGAGGGACTGAAGTCAGCTCTGGCAGTAAAGCTTGCCAGCAAGCTTTCAGACCCAAGCTTATATCCCCGGCATGCACCGACAAGCCTAGCCAAGCAGAGTTTACCTGTGAGAGTCATGCTGGAGGTACATAGACAATGGAAACAGAGTGGGCTGTTCTGTCAGTTAAGCCAAAGTGGAGAGTGACTGAGGAAGATACTTGATGCCAACCTCTGGCCTTTGCAGGGATGTGCACACGTATACCTGCTTATAACGACACAGACACATTCATATAGCAAGCACACACACACACACACACACACACACACACACACACACACACACCCCTACCTCTGGCTGGGAAAAGAACACTGAAATATCTCCAAAGGAGCAAAGGACAATCTCCCTCCCTCCACCTCTACCCACAGAGGTACCATTTCTAGACAGATTCCATATTCTGTAGTAATTATATTTTCTGATTTTCTCTTATGGAAGGTGATGACTATGCCCGAGTCCCAACTTCATGAGATCAAGAGGTGCCCAGGAGGGCAATATTGCTCACTTCTAGGGTATTGTGAAGTAGCTTCCGAAGATAATTAGACATGGGCTCTGACAGAATCAAAGGACCATTCCTTTGATGGATTCATAATACAGTGGCATTATGGGAAGGTGACAAAAGGTAGTACCTGGGAGCTAGTTGGAGGATAGAGGTTACTGAGACTTGTCACTAGGCAATATTTCACAGTGAGCTCTTCTGGTATTCTATTTCCCAGGCACCATAACATGAGCAGCTCTGTCACACCTCTCCACCACACAGGATTAAACCATCTCAAAGTCTGAGCAAAGCAGTCCTTTGCTCTGCTTCTGTCTACTTCCTACTTAGCCAAGTGCTACAATAACCCAGTACACAGGACAATACTTCGCTAACAATGTAAGCTACTAAGTTATCAGAAATGGAAACAGTTTCCTTCCCTTAAGCATCCTGAGGGTAACTTTCCAGGAAAAAAAAAAAAAAAAAAAAAAAAAAAAAAAAAAAACAACTGCCTCAAGGAGTTGGCACTGGCATCCTAGAAACAGGATGGGCTGGCTTAGGTATGAGTGGAGAACGGCCTCTCTGAGCCTTGCAACCTCTGTCCATTCAACAAACGCTTCAGGAACCTTCTATATACAGGGCACTGTCAACACAGGAGGCAGCTGGAACACATAGCACCAGCTACCTAATTTTCAGGGTCCAATGAAAAATTAAAACGAAGGGCTCCATGTTTAACAATAGAGAATCTGAAGGCAGAGTTTTAAACTGCGGTTTAGGCCCTTCCCCTGGGACTGGTTAGTTTTTCTGCACAGATCTCACCTCCTGAAGTCAGTCCAGGACACCGACAGACATTACACAAACAAACCTGTAAGGGGGTTGCTGGTTTTGTTTCTTCCAGTCCCAGTAAGAGCCAGGAAGGAAAAGACTGGGCTGTTTAGAGAAAGTGTTAGAGAGAAGTAAGTTGCACTTTGGAGACGGGTAAGACCTCATTAAGTTCACACAGGGTTAAGGACAGGAGAAACAAGGTCGACTGACACACAGGCAAGAGGAATAATATGGGGAAACGCGAATGCAGAAGTCGGAAAGAATTTGTAGAGGGCAGAGGAAGTGTCCGGAGCTGGCCACCTGACTGTTTCAGCCATAAGACAGTCTATACGGGACCAAAAAGTACCGTGTCACCTTCCCAGCTAAGCGAATGTCCACTGGGAACCTCCTGGTCTGCCTGGCCCAGCAGGGACCCGTTAGGAAGCATGCGATCAGGAAGGGTGCTCCAGACTGTGGAGGCTCCCGGGTCCGAGAAAGGCGGGACAGAGAGGATTCTGCATGAATGAGGATGCTCACTCAGCCCATCACAGAACCTCAGAAGCCCTTTCATGCCGGGACTACCCCGCAACCCCGTCCGGCTATTTTCACCGCGCTCGGGCTCGCTCCTCCACCCTGTGGTCCAGCCCCGCCGGCTACACAGCTGTCTCCGTCCCGCAACAGCCTTTTCCCGAACAGACTCGGTGCCGCGGGGCAAGGGAGGAAGAAAGCTGGGCCCGGCTACCCGCGGGACAAGCCACCGTGCCCGGGTACCCAGGAGTCCGCGATCGGCCCTCACCCTGTCCCAGCGCAGCCACTGGGTGGTCTCCTGCTCCAGTCGCTCGTCCATGCCGGAGCCACCGACTCCGGGAGCTGGTGAAGGTGTCGCCGCCACAGCCGCCATCCCGCCGCAGCCACAACCGGGTGAAGGAGGCCGGGTCACCCTTCCGGCAGGGCGGGGAGAGGGCGGGGACAGCGGCCTGCTGGAAGAGGACGTGCAGCTCCGCCCGGCCTGTCCTTAAGGGTGCGCCTCCGGGAAGGCTAGGCTGCGGGGCATGTCTCGTGGCAAGCAGAGCAAGAGGCTGCTTTACCCTCGTCTCCTAGGCGTACCGAGAGTTCCTCCAGCAAGCATCACGTGTGCATCGGTGCCCATAGTGTCTGGGATGCTGGGTTGATTGCATGCGGAAGCGGAGCTCCTCGGTGCAAGCCAGGAGCGGTACTGCAGAAGCAAGCCAGATCTCCGTGACTTTGAGGCCAATCTGGTCAACATGGCGAATACCAGACCAGCTCATGGTACATAGTGAAACACTGTCTCAAAATTTTAATTAAATTTAAAAAGAATATAGCAGAGGGAGGAGGGGGAAATCTTGAAAAAGAAGAGCCAAATGGGGAGTAAATCAAATAGGCCAGCGAACCAAAAAGGGAATTCAGAAATGAGCTCACACTTGCTGAAGAATACCCGGAAGGACTAGCGGTAATTTCAGGGTGCTGGGTCAACTGTAAGAAGACAGTCGACTCGCCTGCCTAAATGTGAATCCAGGGTCAGCTGGGTGATGCGCGCACAAGCAAGAATGTTTCTGAGCTGCATGTGACGACTCACTCCTGCAATCTTGACCAGTGGGAGGCTGCTGCAGGATTGCTGTGAGGTCAAAGCCTGACCTAGGCAGTGAGTTCCAGGTCACTGCAGGTTAGAAGAGAAAGATAGAGCGAGACAGACAGACACACACACACACAGAGAGAGAGAGAGAGAGAGAGAGAGAGAGAGAGAGAGAGAGAGAGAGAGAGAGAGAGAGAGAGAGAGAGAGAGAGAGAGGCGAGAGAGAGAGAAAGAGAGGAGAGAGAGAGAGAGAAGCAGTTAAGAACATGGACTTCTCTACCAGAGGACCCGGGTTTGATTTTCAGCACTAACACCGCTGCTTACAACCAACTGAAACTCCAGTGCCAGGATATCCGGAGTCCTCTTCAGACCTCCATGGGCACACATACCTGTGGTACAGAGACATATATACAGGAAAAAAATACCCAAACATAACATAGAAATAAACAAATCTTTAATTTTTTAAAAGTTTCTAGGCACAAAAAGCTCCAACCAGACACACAGGGATGGTAATAATAGAACAGATAATTACATAGTGGTATACTCACACCAAATCATATAAATAGATTATGGCAACTCAGCTGTGAGTTACACACGCCAGTGAGAATGGACAATTGGATGTTGCTCATAAACATCACATAGAGTGAAAGAATTCAGACTGACCAGTTCTGATACACACTGAGTAAGAAGAGTATTACGAAAGACAACAAACCAACACACCGGTGGTTTCCAGAACTGAAAATGGGGGTTCACTACAAAGGTCACTGGGGTTTATGGGTAAGGGACAATTTTGTTTATTCACTGAGTTTGTGGCTGCCTGAATGCAGGTATTCATCAGAATTCAAAACTGTGTCACTCACTGTAAGTTATTTCTAATTTTAAAGTTCCCTAAAACAGCGTTTATCTGTGGAGTGTGCTTACATATGGGTGTGCAAGGGTAACTTTGGAGAGTTAGCTCTCCCCTTCCACTGTATGAGTCCTAGGGACTGGGTTAAGGTTGTCAGGCTTGGAGGCAGTGCCTTTACTTGCTGAGCTATCTCACTGGCTCATATAATAATTTGTAAATAATTTTTTAAAATTATTAACATAAAAACTACCAAGGAGTTCAATCCATGGGCATTAGGACGTTATGTTTGGAAAGGAGGAATTCTATGCCTGCTTCCCCACCACACCCCCACCTCAACTACTAAACATTGAGCAGGGCCTTGCTTGTGTCATGAGCCAATCCCCAATCCTATCTCCTTAATCCCCACTTTGTTTGTTTGTTTTGTTTGTTTTGTTTTCTTTTGAGACAGGATTGCCAAAGGTTGTCTGATATGGAATATTATTTTCACTAGGCAAAGATGTGTTACATTTGTTTCTGCTGCCTTTGTTAACAATGTAAAGATGTGTTACATTTGTTTATGCTACCTTTGTTTAATTATGTAAAGATGTGCCTGCTTAAGGCACCTGATTGGTCTAATAAAAAGTGGAATGGCCAATCGCTAGGCAGGAGAGGGATAGGTGGAGACCGGCAGAGAGAATAAATAGAAGAAGAAATTTAGGCTAGGAGCAAAAGACACACCCAGGGCAAGAAGCCAGACAGCTGCTAGACACGGAGACAGACAGACAGACACAAGAAGCAGTGGAAGTTAGATATACAGAAGAGGAAAAAAAATATGTAAAAGGCCCTGAGGCAAAAGGTAGATAAATGGAAACAGGTTAATTTAAGTTAAATGAGCTAGCCAGAAAGGTGCCTAAGTTAGGCTGAGTGTTCAAAACTAGTAAGTCTCCATTTATGATTTGGGAGCCGGTTAGTGGTCCGAAAGAAGAAAGCCTGGTACAGTTGTCTAAGTTGGTCTTAAACTGGCTCTAGTTGTAGCTAAGCCTGGCTTGGAACTTGTGAGTCTCCTGCCTCAGCCTCCCAGGCAGCTGCAATTATAGGTATTTGCCATCACCTGCATCCACATGTTATTAATAATTCATATAGCTACAGTGTTTCTGTTGGTTGTTTGGTTTGATTTTGGGTTTCTTGCAACCCAGAATAGTATTCAACTGAATATGTAGCCAAGTATGGCCTTGAACACCTGCTACCCCTATCTCTAACTCCCAAGTGCTGGCATTGTAGGCAAACACATCACCACACCCAACTACAGTTTTTTAAAGAGTTGTGCGTTTTCTTTGTGTTCTTCTGCAAGCGCTAGATAAAAGCACCCACATTAGGATGTATGCTGTCTGTACAAAGGAACTAACACACAGTTACTATCTGGTAACCAAGCTGGCAGGGAAGTAAGGAAGTCCTGAGGGTAGATTAAAATGTTGCTGGCTTGAGGAAGCTTCTCAGAGCTTAGTAGAGACAGGCACGCCACAGAGATGGCCGGCCACAGGGATGGCAGCCTGGCAAATGCTTTTTAGACAGAATGTGATCCTATGTCTGAGCCAAAAGGCTTGGAAATAGAAGCAGGGAGAAGAGTGGAAGAGAGGACGCTGTTACAGCCAGGTTTCTGCGGTGATAGCTGAGTACCACAAACTGGATCTTTTATAAGTAACGGGGTTGTCCTTTGCTCATGGATCAGGAAGCCAGGAAGTCTGTTATGAACTTTTGGGACACATGTTGAAACCATAGCAAGAAGTCAGCCTTGCTTTCCCAGCCATCTCTTTTCTAGGCACCATCTTGACACCGCTCAAATTCGAAGGCGTGGTTCACTCTGTGTTTGTGCTCTTTGCTGCCTTCTGTCAGGGTGGAGGTGGGCTGTTTCTCGTCCATGAAAGTTCGGTGCATCAGAGCTCGTATTGGTCCCTCCATGATGGACAGTGTGCTGGCTGATCAGATGTCATCTAGACACAGGTTAGAGTCATGTGAGGGGAGGGAACCCCAACTGAGAAGCATCTCTAAGATTGGACTATAGGCAAGCCTGCTTGTAGAGCACTTTCTTAATTAGTGATTAACGGGGAAGGGCTCAGTCCATTGTGGATAGGACCACGCCTGCTCTGATAGTCCTGGGTTCTCTTAGAAAGCAGAATGAGCACACCAGTAAGCAGCACCCCTCCATGGCCTCTGCATCAGCTCCTGCCTCCAGGTTCTTGCCCTGTTTTGAGTTCCAGTGTTGACTTCCTTCAGTGATGGATTATGGACACAGAGGTATAAGCCAAATAAGCCCTTCCCCCCACAACTTGCTTTTGGTTATGGTGTTTCATCACAGCAACAGTGACCCTGGTTAAAACAGATGGCAGATGACTTACTACAGCTAAATCCATGCTGAGTCGAAAGCAAACAAAGTGGGGGGGGTGGCAAAGTGGGGAGATGGGTGGCAAAATGATTTCGTACCTTTTGGTGTATCAGGAATCATGGGGCCCAGGATGACATTAATAAGAACTGTTTTAACTTCATCACCTACATCACGATTCTCCATATTCCTCCATAGAACCAAGAAAAGAAATTGCATAGTGTATGCAGGCAGAGAGAGGAACGATGAATAGAGAGGAACTATGAATAATGGTATCACCAAATCATACCCAATTCTCCCTTGCTGAGAAGAGTTTTTAAGAACTGTGCTAAAAAGTCAACACAGAATAAACAGGGTTCGCCATGCCCACCCATTTCCTATGTGAAGTAGAAAACACTCCAAACTCCACCATTTTGAGGTTACAGATGTGTAGAGCTGGCCTTCCCCACTCCCCTCCTATGGCTTTACTCTTCATAGCCTAAGGGCAAAAGACCTATGCACGCAAAGCACGTTTGTGCACACTTACCCTTGAGAGACACATTCACGTGGTCATACAGCTGAGGTGTGTAGTGAGCTATACTATGCAGGTTACGAAAGAAAAATGTTTACCCAGTGATGAAATTGCTGCAGAACGCATATTCAGCACACAGCCCATCATTAAATGAGGTGACATTGCTTAGAGAGTATAATGAAATCTTGACAGGTGGGAACTCATGACCTGGTGTCTTAAATTTTGATATGTCTTAAATAGAATCCACTTGCTTGTAGGTTAACATAATTTAACTTTTAAAAGCAATGAAAACTGCTTTTAGTTTTTTGTTGATTTGTTTTTGTTGAGATAAAGTCTCACATAGCCCAGACCGATTTCAAATTCACTTATAGACTGAGCACCTACCGCCTTGAGCAATGGATCCTCCTGCCGCTACCTCCTAAATGCTCAGTGTATTGAGTTCTGAGGTTCAAACACAAGCCCTCTTGCATGCTAGGTAGCACTTCTACCAAATGAGTTCTATCACCCATCACTGTTTTGGAGGTAGTAGCTCACTGTGTAGCTCAGGATGGCCTTGAACTCACTGCAATTACCTCACCCCCACCTGCTGAGTGCTGTGATTACTGTCGCAAGCAGC